ATCAGCTTTTATTATCGTTTTAAAAGACTGCTAAACATGTGGACATGACGATTGTTTTTACGTCTAAAACACAAAATGTGTAAAATGGTGACAAACAATGTTGCATTTGTTCAGCTTGTTATGCTATTATTCAGTAGTATATCAAAATAATCTTTTGAATCTTTTTATCTTTTGAAGTTTATCTTGATACACACACAAAAAAAAAGTACACTTGGATATTTAACACAAGTTCCAAGGTCACATCTTAAAGCAAAAATCCAAAATCATTAAAAGTTCACATGCAGATCCTCAATGTAATCAGAGTGAATTTTGCATATATAATCTCAATCACTGATTTAGTCTCACTCTCAGCTTGTGACCTTAAGACATCGGGAATCATGTTGATTAGGACTTGTAGAGGGAGAAAATGTGCTCACCAAACAACTGATTATTATTTATAAAATCACTGTTAAATGATCTGAGGTTTCAAATGAATGACCGGCCAGTGATGAACGAATCACTCGATCCTCGAGTCCCCTTCATCACCCTCAGAGTCTCTGATCGCTGTGACTGAATCTGCTGTTCTTCTCAGTTCAGCAACACAAACACCAGAGCTGAAAACTGATCAGGAGAGAGTCTGAGTCCAGATTTCAGCTGTGTTTTTATCTGCTGGATTAGATAACGCTCATCCAGCTCTTTCAAAGCATCAAACAGGAGACTGCATTTGTCAGCATCTGGAGAGGAATTCATGATCAGAGTTTTGATGTGTTGAACTGTGAGTTGACCGGATGAAGAGCTGCTTTCTCTCTGTGTCAGGAGGTCTTTTAAAGCTCTCTGACTGGACTCCAGCATCAAACCCAGTACAAAGCAGAAGAAGAGATCCATCTGTCTTTGTAAAGCGAAGTCCATCACTTTCTGGAGTGAGTTGTAGTCTGTGAAGCTCTGCTCTCCGATTTCAATATTTAGATTGGACAGATCTCTGAGCTGGAGTGTGTTTCCTCCACTGATGCTCTTTCTGAAATATTCCTCCCTCTGCTGGTCATCAAAGCCCTGGATCTCTGTCACACGATCAATCCATCGAGCAGGAATCTGATTGGCTGCTGCTGGTCTGCTGGTGATCCAGATCTGAGCGTTTGGAAGCAGATCTCCCTTGATCAGGTTTGTCAGAAGATCAGAGACTGAGGCTGGATCATTTAGATCAGTAATCCTCTTTGTGTTCTGGACTTTAAACTCATTGAGTCCATCAAGGATCAGTATGATCCTGTCAGAGTCATGAAGTATCATACATTGTGTTTTCAAAGCATTGCTGCAGAAGCTGCATGAAGCTACACTCCGTCACCGTCTCTCTGATAATGTTCAGCTTCTGAAAAGGGATCAGAAATATATAATCGATATGAGTGTTTGATTTCTCTTCAGCCCAGTCCAGGATGAACTTCTGCACAGTCACAGTTTTTCCAGTTCCAGCATCTCCCTTCAGCAAAACTGTCCTGATATTCTGGCCTTCAAACATGTTTCTGCACATGATCTCTCTTTCATCACCGATGAGAGGATCAGTTTTCTCTGTGATGTGGGGTTCAATGAAGACATCGTTCAGTAGTTGTCTTTTCTCTCCAGATAATATATCTTCAGTCAGATACTGAAACTCCTCCTTTAGTCTCAGTTTGAACATCTTTGATACTACAGAGACATAAACTCGGTTTAATACTTTCACAACACATGCTTTTCCTTTGCATTTACATAAGTAACACTTATTTTGTACATATATTGAGTCTGTAATAAGGACTTTAGGGAACATGCTGTAAAGCACTCAAACTCTCATTGAACTAGAAAGACACTTCTATGCTACAAGAGTCTGAACAAAAAACTGGAACATGCTGTTATTAATTTACCTGAAGAGTGACTCTGTGTGCTGCTCTTTGGACTGATCGTGGCCTGCTTGGGCTGCTACAATAAAAAACAAGAACAAATAGACACAGAAACTCCACCGTGAGAGACTAAATGACAGTCAAATATATTACTTATGGTTTAAACCAGACTTTCAACCATCCTTACTAAACAGACACAGACACAGATCTCTAAACATGTGTGCACATATTCCTGAATACATGTATACATGAACACATGACTGTACAATACCTTGTTGGAGATATGGCCTTGTTTAGGATTCTTCGAATTTGGATTGCTCTTTCTACAGTTTAAAAAAAACAAATATATATATATATATATGTATTTATATTTCAATTTTCAGAAAATTAACAGGTGTCATTATGAAAGTTACCTTATGCTGTGATCATTCAATTTAAACATTTGAAACACAATGCAATGTCACTGATGTAAGGCATTTCCGAACATCACACAAACCAGATGAGAGTCGTAAAAGCATGAACCGTGACCAGCCAGGCGGCAACTTTCTCCAATGAGTTCCTGTCTCGCTCTGCTTATCTTTACAAAGAAAACACAGAGCTAATGATTTGCCAGGCCACCTCCATGTCGACACAATACTAAGACAACAAGAACTGACCCCTCCCATCTGGAC